TCTTAGCAGAAAGTAGGAAATCCATAATAATGTCTATTTGTGTTTTATTGAATATGCAAAGATATTTGATTGTGTGGATCATAAAAAAACCATGGTTAAAATTAAGAAGAATGAAAATCCCAGAACATTTAATTATGTTCATAAGAAAACTATACTTAAACCAATATGCTGTAGTCTGAAGAGAAAAAAGGAATATGGCATGGTTTAAAATCAAGAAAGAATTGCCTCAAGTGGTATATCCTTTCTTTATATGTACTCAATCTTTATGCTGAGAAAATAACTTGAGAAACTGGACTCTATGAAGAAGAGTGTGACATCAGGACAGGAGAAAGAATGATCAACAATTTATGTTATGCATGTTTCTGTTGAAAATGAGGATGTAAAACACTTGCAGCAGGAAGATCAAAAACTACAGCTTTCACTACAGATTACATCTCAATATCAAGAAAACAAAAATCCTCACCTCTGGGCTGATAAACATCATCATGGTAGATGGAAAAAAGATAAAAATTGTCAATGATTTTGTCTTACTAGGATCCCTTGGCACTAGCAGTTAAGAAATCTAAAGATACGTTGAAATGGCAAAGTCTACAATCAGAGACCTCTGCAAGTATTGAGGTGCAAAGACGTAGGTTAAAAGACTTTAAAGACTAAAGCCAGATGCTGTCCATCTGAGAACTTGACAATGAATATATATGACAGAAGACTCGATGCCTTTGAGTTGTGGTGTAGGAGAAGAGTACCAAACAGTCCACTGACTGCCAAAAGAACAATAACATATCTTGGAGAAAGTGTGCCCAGATTGCTTCTTGGAGGCAAGGATGGTGAAGTTTTGTCTCACATCCTCTGGGCATGTTGGTAGGAAGGGCTGTTCCTTGGAAAAGGCCATCATCCTTGGAAAGATGGAGAGTCACTGAAGGAGAGGAAGATCCTCAACCAGGTAGACTCCCACTGTGACAACAGCAATGGACTCTAGTATGTCAGAGATGATGAGGAAGGCACAGGACAGGATAGGGTTTAGATCTGTTGTTCATAGGGTTGCTAAGAGCCAACTCAGTGGCCCATAAATAACAACAACAAAAAAACTGCAGTATAATAACTTATTGTTTGTTAAAATCTTTTACTTGTGGTATTACTACTACAGCACTAAATAAGACAATCAATTAGGGAAAAAAGTAATTAAAAGTAGCAAATCAAATTAAAAATTTTAAAATAACAATGCTTAAGAATAATTTTTTAAAATGGAGTTAAATAAAAGTTCTCATTAATATATTAGAAATGATACACTGCAAAAGTGGTAACCAGGTCTTCAGGTGACTGAAGTTTGATAAATTAGCATAAAACGTTTGTGCTCAGTTCTGAAATGTTCAACATATTTCTCATCACATCTAATAATAATAAAGGCAGTGACTACTGGCATATTATGATAGGAATGAAGAAATATAAAAAATTTCAAGTGAAAATATGGGATGTTATACTTGAATCTGTGAGTAGTTGTTCAACATATCTTAAGAGCAAACAGCAAGTTGTACCACACATGAAAAGGGATGTGCCGATATAATTAACAACATGAAATGAAGAAAAATGTAAACAAAACCTTTTAACTATGGCTGGATAGTCACCAATTAACTCTAACAAGTAGCCCAAAGTTAATTCAGAAGAAGGCAAACTGCCTTAAATAATCCTATAACCATTAGACAACATCATGAGAGATGGAGAGAAGATTGAAACTGTCAAGGACCTGACTTCATCTTGCTTGGATCCAGGACCAAAACCCTTGGTATCAGCAGTCAGGAGACAAGGAAACATACTATACTGAGAAAAGTCAGCAGTCAGGGACCTCTCCAAGCTATTGAGAAGCAATGATGTCAGTCTGAGAACTAAGGTGCACCTGATTCAGTTTATGGTCTTTTCAATAATCTCCTATGCATCTGAGAATTGGATAATGACTAAGGATAACAAAAGAATTGATGCCCTTGAGCTGTGGTGTTGGAGAAGAGTACTCAATTTCCCATGAACTGCGCAGCTAGAGTGCTTCCTGGAGCAAAGGTAATGAAGCTTTGTCTCACGTACTTTGGGTAAGCTGCTAGGAGAGGCTATTTCTTAGAGAGGGCCATTATGCATGGAAAGGTGGGGAGTCCGTGGGAGAGAAGACCTTCAACCAGATGGACTGACACAGTGACTGCAGCAAGACGTTGAGACTGTGAGGATGGCTCAGGATAGGAGACGGTTCATATCCACTGTTCACAGGGTGACTATGAGTCTTACTTGACTTGACAGCACCTAACAACAACAACATAACCAATTCCGACTCAAAGTGAGTGACCGTCTATCAGTTTTCCAGGGCTATGAATTTAAACAGAAGACTATCTACCTTTCTCTCCTGGAGAGCCGACTGTGAATTTAAAACCACTTGCGGAGAGTGGGCTTTGATTTAGCACCTCAATTCTACACCATCAGAAGTTACAAAATAGTAAAAGTAGCAGCATAGGTTGTTGTAGTTATTAACTACCACTGAGTCAGAAGCAACTCACAGCTGACCCTTCAGTGGATTTTCAGAGACTTTAACTAGCAAGGGAGGAGACTGTCCATCTTTCATTTCTCCCAAAGAGTGGCACCATAAGTAAGAGTTCTTTAAAACAAACAAACAAAAAACCAAAACACACACGCTAGTAGCTAGATTGGTGCGATAGTGGGTAAATTTTTTCCCCAAGTAAATTTCAGCATTACTTGGTATTGCCTTAAAAATTAAATTAGTATGTCAGTCTGTTGGAGCATGGAAGCAAATGTTAGGTCTTATAAAAAAAAACAACTTACTGCTATCGAGTTGGAACCGATTTTTGTCTGACACTCCAGCCAGTTTTTTAAGGCTTTGAATTGTAAGGCAGGAGACTGTCCATCTTTCTCCCTGAGCCGCTGTTGGATTTCAGCCAAAGACACCACCCTTAGGTTGACAACGCGTTACAGATTAAGCCAGCAGAGGATCCCCTAGGCTTTATGATAATTTTCACTAGAAACACTATTAGCATTTACTGGAGGTTCCTTCGTGCCCTGCAGTGTTAAGGTTCTTGCACTGATTTTTATCCTGGTTTTGGCTTTGCTAACACCATCAAGATTTTACTGAAGATTATCCAAAAACGACTCGAACAGCACCTCAGCAGAGAACTACCAGAAGTCCAGGCGGGGTTTAGAAGGGGTCGTGGTACTAGGGATATTGCAGCTGATGTTAGATGGATCTTAGCTGAAAGCAGAGAATACCAGAGGAATGTCTATCTGTTTCATTGACTATGAAAAGGCATTTGACTGTGTGGATCATAACAAACTGTGGCTGACTCTGAGAAGAATGGGAATCCCCAGAACACTTGATCGTGCTAATGCGAAACCTATACTTGGACCAGGAGGCAGTCGTCAGAACAGAGCAAGGGAACACTGCATGGTTCAAAATTGGGAAGGGCGTAGGCAGGGATGCATCCTATCTCCATACCTTTTCAACCTATAGGCAGAACAGATTATCTGGAAGGCTGGGCTCTAGGAGGAGAAATGTGGGGTCAAGAGTGGTGGACGATTTATCAACAATCTGCGTTATGCAGATGAC